CCAAATGCAGATCTGTTTAAAAATAGTTTATGGTCAGTATCATTCTCCTCATTCTTGGAAAGGAAATAGGGATGATGATCTTAGCCCTTTACATTTATGAAATTATTTAATCCTTATAACAACACTTTGGGATAGTCAACATTACTTGCCCATTTTATAGAGAATGAAACTGAGGCACAGAGATGTTGTCTGGCATAGTATATGTACTCAGAAGTAAGAACTGGCCGCCATGTGGAAAATCAGGAATTTTATGTAGGCTTCTTTAAGATAACAGGTCTTGCCTGGCCGGTGTTGCTCAGTGGATTGAGCCTTGTCCCCTGGCCTGAGAGGTACTGGTTGGATTCCTGGTCAGGGTACATGCCTAGGTTATAGGTTCAATCCCCAGTAGGGGGCGTGCAGGAGGCAGTGGATGGATATTTCTATCTCCCCCTTCCTCTCTCTCTAAAAAATCAATAAAAACATATTTTAAAAGCCTTGGCTGGTTTAGCTCAGTGGTTAGAGAGTTGGCCGGTGGACCAGAGAGTCCTGGGTTTGGTTCCTGCTAAGGGCATGTACCTCGGTTGCAGTTTGTCCCCGGCCCCTGTTGGGGTTGTGTGGTGGCAAGCACTCGATGTGTCTCTTTCACATCAATGTTTCTCTATCTCTCTTCCTCCCTCTCTCACTCCTGCTCTATCTGAAGATAAATGCAAAAGTGTCCTCAAGTGAGGATAAAAAACAATTAAAAAAATATAAAAGATGACAGCTTTTACCACCAATTCCTAATTAAACTGCAGTTCAGCTAGGCTCATCTATTCAAGGCACCTCGTACTGAGGGACAGGAGGGGTGTATATCACTAAGTTATAAGAGACACCAAAAGTATGGCAAGTGTTACAACATTTAATAAACATTTAAACTACAAGTTAGTCTGTTACCACATGTTAACATTTATAAGTTGATATATTAAAATGTTAACTATAATGCTAGGAACTTAGTATATTTAATATAACAACTCTGAAAAAGCAACTGAGACATAGAGAGAATCTAGTTAATTGCAAACCTGGAAGGTCCATAATGAAGTATGTTTTTTGCGATGTCAAAGTACATCTATTTCTACTACATAGGGGTGTTGTACGCGATGTTTTTTCCTTTTTTTTTTTTAATGTCTCGCTGTGCTGTTGTCCTTCTTGCTCACTTTCTAAATGATACATTTTAACTTTAGAATTTCATCATTTCTCATGTCAAGGCTTAGTTCATGTCATCTTCTTTGACTATATAGATCATGCTAATACTTTTCCTCCTGGAACTTACACTGTGCTCATTCTGTTTCCCAACTCATGGATAGGGCACTGTCTATCTCCCTTGCACTATCGGACACGTTATTAAATGAGAAATCTGTCTACATGATAATTAGGCAATTGAAGAAATGTAATTCCTCACTTTATATGAGCAGTCTTTTGAGTGATGGCATTTCAAACACTTTAAAGAAGGCATTATTACAAAGAGGATTCCATGGCAGGACTGAACACCGAACTGGAAATCCGAGGGATGGTTGAGGCCGTGGGTTCGGTGGAAACATGTCTAGGAGTAGCAATGTAAAGATGAAAGGTCATCAATGGGCTACAAGAGCCTGAATGCTAGAGGAATAGCAGCCAGGCTCTCTCTGATGAGGGCACGCTCCCAGCTCGGGGGGCGGGGACAGGCACCAGTATTATCTGAGCCCCAGGCTTCAATGCAGTTTTCTTTGGATGAATTCAATTTCGTGTATTTAATTAAATATAATTAAATGACTAGTGTATACACAGCACAGCATTAAAAATTTGGTGGAAAGAGCATAAATTAGCTTTCCTTGAGCATCCATGTAAGGGGATAAAACCAACATGAAATTCAAAAAAAATTAGCTAAGAAGATAATTGAATTATTGCTGCTAGGCAACCTATACAGGTATAGGTAACAAATATCCAGAATGATGGTGGTGAAGGGGACACTGGGGAGGAAGGGAGGCATGAAGGAGGGATGGTAATGGATTTGTTGATATCAGAGGATATAGGCAGAAACAAGAGGAAGTCAGGAGCTTATAGAAATGGAAAATAATCATGATGAGTATTTGAATAGTGCACTCCAAACATTCTCATGCTTGTTACTTCCTTTGTTCCTCATGAAAGTATTGAGGGGCAGGGCATAAAATTCTGGGAGAGGTTGCAGAGCATAGTGTTAGGCTGTGTTATGAACTTGATCACATACCCACCAAAAGGCGTTGATCAAGCTCCTCATGCTCCCCAAGCCTTAACCACGGCACAGAAAATCCGCCTGATACTAGCTCCCATCTCCTATGGATTTTGTGGGAATGAGAAGAGAAAGTCATCAAACTCTTAGCACAGCTCTCAAATAATCGCTTGACACATATTGACTTTGGTTATTATTGTGTTGTTTTATTTTTGCAGGATTTGAAGGTTATATAATCAGCAAGACGCCTGCTGGTGCATTGAGCTAAATCTGCTCACTCTTGAACCCGTGGCCTTCCCCACTGTGCTAAACTGACCCAGGTGTTGTGTTGGCAGTAGGGTGGGCTTGACTGCTGGGGGGGGGGACCTACACAAAGATGAGAGTGATTACTTTGTGGGAGGGTCTCGAAAGTCAGACTGAGAAGCTGAATTGTGTACTAGTAGTCAAAAGAGAACTGTGATGAATGCCTGGATTTTAAGACAGAAGGGGCATTATTACCTATTCTAGTGCATTATGTGTTTAAATACTTTTTATCATGAGATAGCTCAGAGGAAGTCTTACTTGGAAGTGTAAGCATTTAATGCAGATGAGAGCTGAGCTTCTGTGTTTGAAAGGACCGAGTCCCTGAGCTGCTCCTTCGAACCGCTTATGTTCCACTCACCTGCCATGACTGCCTTGTGTTCCAGCTGAGGGAACTGAGGCCCAGAGGTGAGCAGTGTCACAGTGCCACCCAGCAGTCAGAGGGACAGCCTGGAATAAAAACCAGTTATCCCGATTTCCAAGAACGTATTTCTTCTGCTTCATTCAAAAATACTAAAGTACTTTGGAAGTCCTTGGGCTTGGAGATGAGAGAGGTTGGGGTTAGTCCAAATCATTGATTTTCAAAGAGTAGCCTGGGAGCTGTGTACTTTGTTTAGTAAGAGGGTGATCATAAGCATGGGCCTCTCTGGGTACTTTTGGATATTCAGGGGAGTCTGAGAGAACACGGAGATTATATCCGCAATTAAAACAATGGTGTCTAATACATTCCCACCAAATGACGGTCAGCCTCTGCTTAAATATCCCTAGCGAAGAAGTTAGCTATTGACACAGTTCTTTTACCGTATTATTTGCCTGCATAGCAATTATGTTTAGTTAGTGGAGGCCACTGTTCATTGATTCAGCGGTACAGTGTAGTGGTTAAGAATTTGGGTTTAAAAATGAGATTACCTGGGTTCAGACTCCCCACTCATTCTAGATGAGATGCTTAATGTCTCCAAGCATCAGTGTTCTCATCTTGAAGATAAGATTTGTGATAGTAGCCATCTCATGTGATATGAAGAATAAATCCAATAATCTATATAACAGACCTAACACCTTGATGATACATAGTGAGTGCAAAATAAATGAGTTTTTTTAAATTTATTATTTTTGTTATTCTTCATAATCCCTTGTTTCATCTGGAAACACTCCTTCAAAAGAAAAAAAAATAGAAGGAATGATTTCTGTTGATTCAGGCTCATGTGCAGGGCTGATGTCAGCTAAGTTGGATCTGGGTCTTCCCGGATCAGAGAAAGAGATTTAAGATTTTATTGTCTTTAATCAAGCATATCTGGAAAATGATTAGGCTCTTGGAGACTTAGTTAATGGTTATAATGTTTATTTTCAGTATTGGACTTTATGTGTTTATATAAAACATATATATGTATAATATATATGATTAGAACATGCTCTCTATTATAGAATTGTCACTGAATTTTATTGTAGAATTATGGAATGAAATAAGCACAGGACACATAAATCTATCTCGCATGATATTTATGAGTGAAATTATATCATGATGCATAGTATCTCTTTCATATTTAGCCTCCGTCATTAGAGAAGCAATACAGCTTGCTATTGGTATTGATTTTGAATCAGGAAGAGCTAGATTTAAATTTGGCTTCAATGTTTACTAGTTGTGGGGACTTGATGTCATTTTTTCACCCTTCTAAATCTTAGTAGCTAAGCTATAAAATGAAGAAAATATCTCATAGGATATTCCACTGCCTGAGACACAGTAGGAATTCATTGAATATTAGCACTGTGTAATAATAATCCAATCGAGAAGGAAGAAATGTAGTTCTTAATAAGTGGAGAGTCCTTGGGATATGACCTAGCTCGCTTATAGGCTCTTCAAGTAACACATGTTAGGTGCTCAATAAGTATAGGGAATAAATAAATAAATATTTATATGATATGTGCCAAATTCTTGGTTCTTGGGTGTTTCCAGTGATAAATGGTCAGTGTGTTAGCTCACTGTTCCTAGAAAGCAGAGGTGGAGAGAATTGCTTATATAGAGGTGGTTTATTTTGGAAAGCAGAATGGAGGCAGTGAATGGGGTAGGGAAATAGGAAAAGGAAGTTAACCTAAGATTGTGTTAAGGTGGATACCATGTATCCATTGGCTTCTATGTACTAATGATCATGGGTTTCCTTAAGATATGTTAATTCTTTTGTATTTCTAGGCTAGGTGTGCGTGTGTGCACCAGAATGATGAAGCAGGGTCTTCTAAGTGTCTGAAGCATCAAATGTCAGAACAAGAAGACAGTGAAACATTGGTTAAAGGTGTTGTTGGGGGATGAGTAAGATGAGGCTATTGTCAGGTTATAATTGTTGGTAGCTGGTTACTGTATCAATGGTTGGAGAAAAAGGTAGGTCAAAAGGGTATAAGACAGAGTGCAAAAAATATCAACACACTTAGTGATGACTAATTAAAAATCACATTATTTTGTAGGTTTCCCAGCTCAGAACCACATGCTTACATCAGCCCATGGGAAATGAAGAATACAAACAACGTGACTGAATTCATTCTTTTGGGCATTACAAGGAATCCTGACCTACGGAAAATACTCTCTGCTGTGTTTCTAATCATGTATGTGTCCACAGTTTTGGGGAACCTACTCATTGTGGTGACCATAATCACAAGTCGGAGTCTGAGATCACCTATGTATTTTTTTCTTTCTTCCTTGTCCCTCATGGACATTACCTACTCTTCCGTCATTGCCCCTAAGATGGTTGTAGACTCCTTCTCTGAGAACACTACTATCTCCTTTGAAGGTTGCATGACCCAGCTCTTTGCAGAGCATTTCTTTGGTGGTGTGGGGATCATCCTTCTCATTGTGATGGCCTATGACCGCTACGTGGCCATCTGCAAGCCCCTGCACTATATGACCCTAATGAGCCCTCGGGTGTGCTGCCTGCTGCTGGGAGGGGTCTGGGTGGGGGGATCCCTGCATGCAACAATACAGCTTCTCTTCATGTATCAAATACCTTTCTGTGGCCCTAATGTCATCGATCACTTTATGTGTGATTTGTTTCCACTGTTGAAACTGGCCTGCATGGATACCCACATCCTGGGCCTCTTAGTCATCCTCAACAGTGGGGTGATGTGTGTGACCATCTTCCTTATCCTCATCGCTTCCTATGTGGTTATCCTCTGCTCCCTAAAGTCTTGCAGCTCTAAAGGGCGGCACAAAGCCCTCTCCACCTGTGGCTCCCACCTCACAGTGGTCGTCTTGTTTTTTGTGCCATGTATTTTCTTGTACATGAGGCCTGTGGCCACTTACCCCATAGATAAGGCAATGTCTGTGTCCTTCACCATTGTTGCACCCATGTTCAATCCCTTGATCTACACCCTGAGGAATGCGGAGGTGAAAGACGCCATGAGGAAACTGTGGGTGAAACGAGGGACCCTGGGTGACCACTAGCTTACGTGCTAAGAACAAATCTTTCCAACAGGGACAGGGAGGTCTTATCCTTCCCATTCATTTCAATCCACTGGGCACAGAAGCCAAGGGCATCTTTTGAGCATGAAAGCCAGGTTAAGATATTACCATGAAGTCACTGCCTATCTCTCCAGTACATTTTGTACTTTATCCCTTCTGTCACAGAACTCTAGTCATTCTTTTTTTAAAACCTGTCTCTTGAGTAATTCCAGCCTTTTGTTCTTACTCTGTTCACTGCTGGAATTCTCTTTCCCAGAGATTTTGCTTGGCTGGCTCCCTCTCATTTTTTCCATCCCAGAGAATGTCTTTCTTGGTGACTTTCTCTAGTCATTCTGCTAAATTATTCTCTAATTCTTCATCTGAATATATCCCCAATATCAATGGTCACAAACTATAGTTTAAAAAATGATTTCTTGACTTCCATTTTTTCTGTTTTCCTCACAGGACTGCAATCCCTGTTAGGGCAGGATTGTGTTTATTTATTCATCCTGTGGGTAGAACTCTGCCAATCACCTGCTAGGTGCTTAATAAATATTATTAAATGAATATGTCTAAAAGATATTCTTTCTTTGATATGCACAATTTCATAAACTAGGTAAGAAGTTGGGGAAGATAAATCAGTATAAATACTTTAGAAGTTAGCATGATCTGCCTCTTTTTTTTTTTCCTGTCTCCTTGCCCTCCATGTATTGGGGGCCAGTTTCTGAACCAACAGTGTCTTGGGAAAATCATATTGATGAGAAATTTCCAAACTCGAACAGCAACTCAGAGGCAGTTCTAGAAGTTCATGACTTCTCAGGGAAACTTCTTGAAATTCCATTTGAAAATCAAGAAATAAACTTTTGCTTCTTATTGAATCTTTCCCCTGATACCATGCAAAAGACAGTGCTTGAAGCAGTGAGGGAAATTCTCTACTTCATCTGCCAGACATGTCCTTCCTCTCCCTTAGCTTAGAAGTAAGACTTAGAAGTGACTTTCACATCTTCCCAGATACCGCATGGACTTTTATCCCAAGAGAATAGAGATTGCCATCGCCAGAATGTTCAAAGCACTCACACATGGTGAGATTTATAAGTCACATTTTTGCATTTTTAGAGAATTTAAAATTGTGATGTTGTACTTAAAAGTATGGATATCATGGTCCAGGCTAAGAAGTTCAATGCAATGTGTGAGTCTATCATTGAACTGTGTACATTTGGGCTAGTTAACATAGCCTTGTTGGCTCTCAGAATCTTTGTTTTTGGTGGAGATTATATTAGCAAGTTCAAAGGATTTGGAAACAAATAAAACATATGGAGTCAATATGAGAGTGCTTGGCATATGATATATGCTCAATAAGTAGCAACTATTAGAATGTAAACTTTTTTTGGGGAGGTTAGGAGGACCTATTAATTCAAGTCTAATGAAATTAGACCTATCTTTAGTTTTTCATTTTCAAGTTAACTTAGAAATGTAACAAGTGCATATTTTTTGTCTTAGCTCTCCAACAGCACTTTATTTAGTCTTTCTAATTATATTCTCATTTATTATTCATATGCAGATGAATGTCCTTATATAGTTTTGAATATTCCCATCCTGGTGTTTTATTTTTTCATTTTTATTTTTAAAGGAAGATTCATTTATTATTATTATCAATTATTTAAAAAAATTTCTTTATTGATTTTAGAGAGAGGAAGGGAAATGGAGGGAGAGAGATAGAAACATCGATGAGAGAAAACGTTGATTGGCCGCCTCCTGCATGCCCTCCACTGGGGATTTGGTCCACAACCTGGGCATGTACCCTGACCAGGAATTGAACCGGTGACCTCTTGGTGCATGGGTCAATGTTTAACCACTGAGCCACACTGGCCGGGCTCCCACCCTGGTGTTTTAGATTGAAAAGTGGAATTTTCTGAGGTTGTATAAAGAATACTGATGCATCACCTCACACCTGCCAGAATGGCTGTCATCAACAAACCATCAAACAAATGTTGGTGAGGATTGGAGAAAAGGAGACTCTAGCACACTGATGGTGGGAATGCAGATTGGTGCAGCCAATATGGAAAACAATATGGTGTTTCCTCAAAAAATTAAAAATGAAACTGCCATTTGACTCAGTGATCCCACTTCTAAAAATATATCCTAAGAAGCCTGAAAGACCAATCGTAAAGAATATTATGCACTCCTATATTCATAGCAGCGCTATTTACGATAGCTAAGATCTGAAAACAGTCCAAGTGCCCATCAATAGATGAGTGGATAAAACAGCTGTGGTACATATACACAATGGAATACTATGCAGGTGTAAGAAAGAGCTCTTACTCTTTGAGACGACATGGAGGGAACTGGAGAGTATAATGCTGAGCGAAATAAGCCAGTTAGAGAAAGACAAGTATCACATGATCTCACTTATTTGTGGAATATCATGAACCAATTAAGCTGATGAACAAAATAGATTCAGAGACATGGAAGACTGACAAACCTCAGAGGGAAAGGGGATGGGGGGGGCAGGAAGAGATAAACCAAAAACTTATATGCATATATGCATAACCAGAGGACACGGACAATAGTGTGGGGAAGGGGATGTGGAGGTTGGGGGTGGGGAGAAGGGTGTCAATGGGGGTAAAAAGGAGGGACATCTGTAATACTTTCAACAATGAAGATAAAATAAAGAATACTGATGTAGAAGCATAATAATTCAAGAGCTGATTACCATTCACAGAGTTATTGATATAATATGGCACTAATATTCCCACACTAAGTCCCCAGTGAAGATACACAGAAGGATATTAAGGATTGGAAAAAGCATCTTACTCAAGTCAAAGAGGAGAGTCTTCTGATTGTAAATACATGCACTTAATTTCCCCTAAGTGCATTTGATGTTATAAATAGTATTAGATTTCTGCATCAGAATTGTTTAGGAGTAGTTAAGTGGCTGAACTTCTGAAATGCTTTCGTGGGGTTGTTGTGGCTTTGTCTCTTTTTTAAAGTGGACTAACTCTTTAGGGCAATAGAAAAAAAAGAAGGTTCAGGCATCCTTCAGGAAGGACACAGGTGGAAACAGAGAAAGGTTATTTTTTTTCAAATTCCAGAAATAGGTGTAGAAGTTGGGACATTTAAGGACATCAGCAGAGCAATACGGAGGGGAGAGAAATGGATCTGAAATCTGAAAAGAACAGTTCCCAGACTGCCAGGGAAAAGAACATGCTTAGCTAGACAAAGAGTAACCCTTCTCGTGTGCTACAGTAAAGAATAATTCTGGATCAAACGTACAGTGGATTCAAGGAACTTAACAAGGAGAGTAGTTAGAATGGGCTTAAACTAGTCTTATAATTTGTAATAACCATATTTACTTACAAAAACACATGCAAATGTGACTAATATGCACATATAGGTACATATAAATGCATCTAAAATTCACTGCTTGAAATATAATGGCAAAATACTACTTAGGACAGCTTTACTACTAATTCCTCATATAGTTTTGAATATTATAAGTTGAAACATGAATTTCTATTATTTTCAGTACAACTGATGCTAGGATTAGTTTGCTGCCCAAATGGGGGTGGGGTGGGGAGAAATAGGGGGTGCTGGGGAGAATGGAGAGGCAAAGTTCTCAAGGCCATAGCCCCAAGTGATGGCCCAGAGCCCACGTTCACCGCAGGGAGGGCCCTAACAAGTCTCTGGTGCAGCTCTGTTATATTAAAATGCATGGCCATGAAGAATCTTCCAGGAAAAATACTAACAGAATCAGCTGCTTCCTACAGGAATATATAACTTCAAATTGATATCAAGTGAGTATCAAGGATGGGAAGATCTGTGCCTGTGATGTGCCTATTTACAGAAGGTTTACGTTAGTTTCCAATTGTTAGTATAAGATTCTATGTGTGTTAGCATGTTAGTTCCACCTATGCAAATTAATCTTACCGGGGATAATAACATTATCCTCAAAGCCATCTTTTTTTTTTTTTTTTTAATTTACACTGTTTAGATGAAGAAAAATCTAGTGTTGTGCATTCTAACCTTGATTTTTAATGTTAACTCATAATTATGTCAAGATACACATGGAAAACAAGTCTATTTTCATATGTTTTCTTCTAGATTTTAAAATTACATAAAAATATCTGTGCAAATAAGCAGTTACAATTTTTTTCTCATTTAACATATTGGAAACATGCCTCACCACCTGTGTCCTCATAGCGTTTAGCATTTTATTCGCAGCATCTTAATTTGCCATAGTCTGATTTACACAAACATCTTCCTGTTGTTAAACATTTTAGATATTTCCAAATTTTTACTATTATCAAAGTTATGTGTCACCTCCCACGATGAAACTTACGTTACCTCATTTCGCTTTCAAGGTAATTTTTTAGCGTGGGGTTCTAGGAAAAGAGATAGAAACGTGTTTATGTCCCTGGAAATGTTTGCTAAAACGTTTCCAAAAAGATTCCACAAACGAAGTAGTTTAATTGCAATTTTAGAATGAATATAATTTTAAAAAGCAGGATGTTAAAACATATTTTATCCTTACGATGGATTCGGTTTTCCAGCTTGCTTTGTGTGTATAGACACTGTTTAAAAGTATGCTGATGATCCTATTTCACATCTTCCTTTTGAATGATTTGCTACAAAGCACACTCATAATAACTCTTTTGTCTGACTCCTGAGCGCCAGGCATTTCTCACAAGTGTTGTTACATCTATGTTACGGGAGAGGATGCTGAGGCTCAGTGGTTTCTCCCGCGACACATGGCTAGCAAAGGATGAAGCAGTAACTGCTAGCTTTTTGACAGCAGAAACTATGCAATTATTTACTATTTTTAATTAGAATTTTATGTTGGCATACTTTTAGATTAATAGAAAACTTTTCAAGATAGCATTGAGAGTTCCAGTATACACCTCATTTAGTTTTCCTTCATAATATCATGAGCATATTTGTCAAAACCATGAAATGAATATTGATGTATTACTCTAAGTGCATCAGATTTATTTATATGTCACTGA